ATTAATTTTTTTAAAGATGGCAGTGAACCAATGATATATAGATGATTCAGTATTTTCATGCAATTTAAAGGAAATCTAAATCCATGCTAGCGGTAATATATTTCAGAGTTATCTCATACACAGTCACATAGGCTGATCTGTTCTGTGCCCATATGATCATACACCAAAATGCTAAAACACGTCAACACTCACCATTAAATAGCAGTCCTGCCATAAATCTCAACAGGAAACCAGGGTTCAACATGTCAGATGCAATGAAAGGCATATGGAAGGAGAAAGGGCAAAGGAAGGTCCCCAGTAAAGAGGGAGAAGAGTAAGGCAAGACAGATGAAGGAGCAGAAGGAACCAGTTAAGACCCCGATAAACTTGGGATTCTTTGTACAATAAAGTGTAAAAAGCATATTTCATATATTAACTCATGTCACATTTTTATAAATCAGCGTTAATGTAGCAGTAATAACACACATGCAGGCAGTCCTATTTTAGGAAGGACATTGCTTCACATTTTGATTTTGAGAGACCTGAAAGAAGATTCTGTTTGCAAACATGAGACTAAGCACTGATGTTTTCAGAAGTAGTATCAGGACTGTGTGAGGCATGTTTCAGTTGTTGTTTCAATGGAACACAGCGTAACTACAGGAAAAATGGCTGTAAAATATTCTTTTCACCTAATATTATACAAACTGATTCATATCCACACTCATTTCTTAAACCTAACCTTTTAATACAGATGACAGAGTATGATACAGTCTTCAATTGTATTTATTTTCCTTTTAGCTTTTAAGGACTACTTGTAATAAAGCAATGCACAAAATTACCTTCTGTTGTCTAACGTGTCCCTAGTCTTCTGTAAGCATGGATGATGCTAAGATGAGGACAAAGGCAGGAGTGGCTCTGCAACACCACGGCTGCTCCTCTGTCACACCTCATCAACTGCAACACCAGCCTTTTACTGTCTCCTCTCCCCTGACCTCTCCTAAGCAAACCCACTGCTCTTTTAGTGTTGTATACCTATGGTTCTTGCCAAAAGGAGCTGCTTCAGGGGAACACAAATAGTGGGCTGAACAGAACTGCGTGATGATCTGCCTACTGAAAAAGCGTTCCCACTTTTCTGGTTCTCTTCTGCCCTATGTATGGGCTGAGGTGGTGAGCTTCATTCCAAGCAGCGCTCAGCAGCTTGGTCCACGTGTGGCAGCTGCAACAAGGTGTTCACAAAACTGTGCATTCTGAATCAAGATCACTGTTTGAAGGGTCAACAGAGTAAGTTTTAGAGCAGCGCAGATCTAAAAGTCACTTGCAAACTGTTACTGCAGACCATAGCAATGAAGCATCTAGACTAAGAATAAATGTAACAACTGTAAAATAACAAGACCCACTTCATACACGTACACACATATACATACACAGGCACCTCTGGCAATGGTAACAGTTCAAGTATATCTAAAAGGCTAAAACACATTTCTGGGGACAGGGTTACTCACTAAAGAGTAAAACTATACAAGCTTTTGCACAGTGCTGTCTAAGAATTGCCATTCTTATACCCTCAACTTGTTTCAGAATTAACTTTTGTGGGAACTGAATATAAGCAGTGTCATCCCTTCAATTCAGTCTTATGCAGATTCAATTTGTGGGCAATATATGTTCACATTGCACATTTTCTATCACAACTGAAAAAATGTAATCACATTTAAAGTCTTATCTATCAAACACCTAACCCTCATACTGATAATGTTCGGTTTAGCCCTTTGAGGCACAGCAGCATTCGTAAACTAGCTCCAATACAAATTTATAATATCATGCAAAAAATTAAAACAAATGCATCATTTGTATTTACAGTAATTACTACAAAACATTTAATTTTTCTCCCTCAGGAAAAAAAGGAGGATTACTTTGAGCAGCAGGATCCCTCTGATGACACATACACACCAATGCAACTTCACATTAATCACAGAAGGCAAACCATCAATCAGTGTAATGTGACAACTATTCTCCACTCCTTCTCCCGCAAAGAAAAAAACATCTCAGGATGTAGCGAACAAGCAAAAATCCTACTGAACGTTAGCTTTTCAGCCTACAGTTGCTTGCTCTCATTTTCCAATGGGTTTGACTTCTAAGGCAATGAATAGAGAACTCCTGTAACAATATAACATAATCAAAACCAAAACCTGTTCCAGTAAAAATGCCAACAGAAAAAAGTTGAAAATAACGTAATGAAGACTGCCTTAGTAACACCTCTAACATGTGATCCTGTCTAACTCTAAAGCATACAGTAATTTTAACCCTGTAACTAGTCCATTGACGTCAGTGAATCCAGTAAAATTCTGTAAATTAGTCAGGCATTTAACACTACTTGCAAATATATAACTTCCTGAATGGTTGGGAGACCACAGTGAACATGCTCCAGAATGTTAATGCCAAATAATGAAAGTAAATTCACAACAGGAAACTTTTGCAAAGGAACGGGTCATGTGATAAAGCTCCCTTCAAGGACTACTTGAAAGGCATGTCACCACTGTGGAAAAGAACCCTAGTATTTACTAATATGCTATTGCTTCCGCTTGGAAGTATTTTTTTTTTTTTAAGGCAGCAATACTATCTCAGCATGTCTATCACTTAATACTTACTGTAGTTACAGGAATCTGCATTCCTTATAAAATAAGATACTGGGATTTTTGGCATACCTTAAACGAAAACCCTCATGAGATACAAGAACTCAGAAATCATCAGCACAATACTTGAAGAAGTTAATTTTGCTTTGTAATTTTTATACGATTACCATCAAGGTCAAATGACTGATCGCTATTTCCCCCCAACGTTAAACTCCAAGCAAAAATACACTAGGTGTTTCCTAAAGGCCCATAATCTATAAGCATTTGTTTGACCCAAGCGACTAACCACCGACCAGCAACTTGTCACAACGGGTCTTAAGAAGAGGTAGGGAAGGAAGCACCAAAGTCATGCAAGATGTAGATGTAGTCCAATAAAAAGCTTTTAAATAAAAGAAATCTAAGAAAATGGGAAAAAAATGCCAGTATCTTAACTTTTATTCAAATCAAGGTAGAAAACCTACCTTAGGAGTGCATGCATAACTATACTCGCCAACCAGCCTAAAAAGGTCCAAAGCCACTTGGGTCTAGCGTAGGACAGCTTCTCTATTTAACACTATAGAGTCATTATGGCAGCGCTAAAGCCCTACATAACAAGCTTCAATTAAACTATCATCACAGGTTTAGTGTCGCTGAACTATAAACGAGATCTTATTAAAAAAAAAATCTAATGCTAAAACTGTATAAAGGGAAATAAAGACTGAGGATGTTCGAAACTTCCACAAGTAGAGATTTCTATCCAAGAACAAAGATAAAGAAAAATCAGGGGAATACTGGTAGCTCACACCCACAGGCATATAAATGTTAAGTATAATTACCCTCTTTTCTGTTGATACTGATAGTTCCCTCCATGCCTATTTAAACGACTTCTGTTACAGTACGAAGTTGCAAAAATCCCTAAAACAATAAGTCTCTGAGTATTCTGCTCTGTTCTATAAAGGCAATATTTACCCATGTGGCCAATAGTGTGACTTCTTGCTGACTACAGAGGGCAGAAGTTACCTTAATGTAATTGCTGAATAAAAACTTTGTAATTTGGGAAAGGGTTAGTTAACATTTTACAACAGGAGCGATCAAACTGCGCTGAGATCTCTACTTTGACATCATTTAGGCAGCCTAAGTGATGACACGTTTTTACACATTCTGCACTTCAAAAATAGTGTTACATGAAAAAAGTTTTCCAATCCCCCCCTTTTTAAATAAGTTTTTGAATCATTCTTATAAGGAGATAAATTGAGACCATATTTTATTATCAGCTAATCTAATCTGTGTTTTTAGACACCTTACACTAGAATTATATGTGAGGCAAACATCTGCTGGAGTGTGTGAGGGGGACGGGTGATAGGAGAGAGGAGGAAGAGAAGGGGCTTTAACTCCAGTAAGAAACTTGAGTACCTGTCTGATAAATACAGCAAAACCTCCTTATGTATCCTATTTATCTTCAAATCTATTTATGTCAGACAAGAGAACATATGAGCATAGCAGCTGTTACTATAGCAATGAAACTGGAAATTATGAGAACAAAAAAAAAAATCACCACCAAAAGATGCTCAGTTTAGCAGAGAGATGCCTTAGAGAACAGAACGTTAGTATCTCAGTTCCAGGATTTGTTCAAAGTCTGCGGTTAGAGAAATCAGATCTGCTATAACAGCTTATTCCCTCGAGTACTCAGGGCCAAATAACTGCTACCTGTAACTTAGTACAATTTGGTACACCAGAAGTTTCTGCCACATGATCCAAAACTTGTCAAATGTACGAGAACACCTTGTAAATCCGGGAAAGAGCAATTCTCTGTACAAGGCTTTTCAACTTTTGATCACAGTAGAGAAAGCATTTAGTATAGTAACACATTCCCTATCAAAAACTCGAGGTAAGAATAAGGAACACAGTGCCTAAAGCCTGAAGTCCTTTAATGTCTGAAACAGATTTACCTAGTATCAGAAAGATCAAAGGACTCAAAATAAAGATCGTGTGAGGGGGGTTCTTCCTCCCTCCCCCCGGAAGTGTAGCTTCCCACTTACCACTGAATGAATTAAGATCACAGTTGTCATGAATCGGTTTTCTGTCAAACCCACCAAATACTTTAATCTGCCTAACTGCTTGATGTCTCTTACTCAATTAGCTATCATTTCAACCCAAACGCTCCTAGAATTTCAACGCTCTATATGGAAATGCTGTTATTTAGATGGGCTGTTTGCACCAGACAACTTCTGAGATGTATTTGAAATGCAGGTCTATTTAAAGGCCACAACAGTTTTCAGAGATGCATTTTCCTTTCGCCGCTCGCTAAAAACGCGTTCCCAGTGCAAGCAGGACAACACTATACTAGAGCAACGTCACAGGCAGCCAGTGAAACACGTAAAGCGCGAACACGGAGCGCGGGGCTCGATTTACCTGCTAGGGAGCCGGGTCTCTGCAGGGTAGCAGTGGCATACAGTTCCTGCGAGTGCTTGCTGTACTGATCCGACGCGTGAACCAGCCGTTTGGTAGGAGACAGAGTAGCGTAAGTGCCAATGGTGGAGCTTAACTGATGTATAGGCGAGGAGGAGATGTTGGACTGGATGGTGGGCGGCGAGGTGACGCGGATGGGGGAAGGCGAGAGGCCAGCCGAGGAGACCACGATGTTGATGGGCGAGCTGGTGCTGTAGGACTTGGCCAGGCGGCTGGGGGGCTGCTGGGGGGAGGAGCCGCGCTGCGCCGTGCCGTAGGCGG